GCCACCTGTGGTAAGAATAACTCTTAGGAGTTCTGGTTTCAGTTGTCTGATTTAATTACAAGAGTCTTTTTGTGTTGGTGATCATATGTTTGTTTCAGACTGCAAAATGTTTTTCATTTAAAAAAAAAAATTGGAAATACTCCTTGGACAGAAAAACTCCTGATACTGTCAGAAAGGATTTTTTTTTAATTGTGAAATATATTTCATAATGAATAATTGGCAAATTAAAATTAAGCAAATAAATAAATTAAACCAGCACTACCACCACAAGCATTAGAAATGGTAAAATTGACTAAAAACAACATTTGAAAGTTAGAAATGTTAGCTCTTTTTATTATGTCTTGTTTTTGAGTCACTTGAAATCATAATTTTCCTTCTCTCACATGCAACAGTGGTGGGTGTTCCCATACAAGTACAAAGATGCACCGTCCAGATACAAATCATGTGGTGACTAATGGCACTTATGTAAACGTACATTTCTTAATAGATGCATGTAGTATCATTCTCTCTGTTTGTAAAACAAGAAAAAGTGGTTGTAAGATAAATGAATAATTCACTTAAGACATAACATGTTTTTTCATTCTTCATTTGCAGTGAGGTCCATGTGTTTTGCTTTACAGTCTGGCTGCATCCTAAATGCTCTCGTAAGTTGCTGAAATACTCTGAAAATTATCCTTTTTTGGGAGAACCAGCTAAATAATCTAATGGTGTGTGTAGCTCACCTACCTGTAGGCTTTAGGGAGTAATACTGATAAGCTACATATGAGTGAGGAAATAGTTCTTAAAAATAAAGTACATATATCTTGTTTAATAGGTTGTGCATTGGGTTCAGGATCAAAGGCAACTAGTTGTATTGGCTGTGCGTGCTAATTTGAAACGTAAATATTTTAAAAAATCTTTGCAAAGAGACAATCTCAAGTTGCAGCTTTGCAGCTTTATCTTGTAGTGCCAAAATAGTGTATAGGTGCTAAAATGACTTGTCTAGTCAAAGACAGCTGGGGTAAGTGATGGTGATTTATGTGGCTGTAGCATCATATTCATGAGTGTTTAATTATCTATAATTTGTTTAAATTGTTTCTGTTAAGATCAGGTTTTTGCTTTGGAAGGATGTGGAAAAATCTTTCACAAAGGATCTTTCAAATAAGTGGTTGGATTGAAGCATTTCCCAGATCTGTGTGTGTTACAGGCAGTCTGCCGTTTCACTTGTGGAATTTCACATATGAGTGTGCACCATGTGTTTGCTGTTGTATTGAGAATAAATTCTTTTGCCCTTGGAAAATATTTCCTGCTTACTTCAACTGTCGGAATGAAATTCTTGATGAATCTGTAATGATAAGGGTCTGTCTCTAGTTTATAAAAATCAAACTCCAGTTCAAGATGGAAAATTGGCTTCTGTTTTGTGATTGCATTTGTTAATTATTTACCTTAAATTGAACACAAGAATGTTGATCTGATTTTTCTGGATTCCTGCATTTTAATCATCCTTGGATCCTAAGTGTAGAAGCTTTGTGTGACCTTCGGTTCTACAAGAAGGGTATTTGTCTGCTTCATGAAACCATCATGAAATTCAGCTGTCTGCTCTGGAGAAAATTAGAGCTAAAATAGCAGTGACTTTACTGAAAAGCTGAACTGTGCAGTTAAGCATCAGCACCGAAGCAGGGAGGTTGCCTTAGGCTGATCTGGCAGAATCGAAGGATGTTTTAGGCTGAGGTACCTATAGGTGCTGCAATATCATGAGAATGACTCGGCCGTAGTTGCGCTGCTGCTTAGCTGGTTACAGCTGCTGCTTTTCACTCCAAAGAGCTGTGTCTTCGTTTGAGCATCTGGCCCAGACTACTCTGTGGGGACCAAAGAGACCACAGGCGGAATTACTACAGTATTTTGCTTTCAGATCCATTCTGTGAGCTTGAAACGGATCGATGGCCATGCAGAGACCTATTTTAATTCATTTTTGAATTCGGTAAACTTTTCAGTGCAGCTGCCTGTTCTTGCCCCTCCGTTAGTCTGCATTCAGGCGCCCTGTAAAACGCCCAGCCTGACACCTACCTGCGCGCCCTGTGTTGTCAGAGCTGCTGCAGCATCGCTCTATCCGCTGTCCCGACCTTGTTTACCAGCTCGGGCTGTGGCAGAGGGCCTGGGATCCCTCTGGCTGGGGCCTCCCCTGCTAAATTTACCCTCCTCAGGTTTATGGTCCCTCCTCCGGCTGCAGGAGGGGCCCCTTTTTTAGGACTTACCCCTCGGCTGTCCCTCCCTGGGCCGCTAACCCTTTAGCTGCCGCTTGCCCTGCACCCGGCCGCTGCCCAGCGCCGCTTTGCTGCTGCAAGAGGCCGAACGCCAACGAAACACTGTAATTTGTATTAGCTTTAAAGCCTCTCCTTTGAATTTTGCAGTTTTGCTGCCCAAAGATGCTGACAGGGGCCCCAGACTGAAGCACTTGTAGGAAAACAGGGCTAAATTCCTTTTAAAGCAAAGTCAGTGTGTTGTTTTGCAATGGATTGTGGAACACTTAGAACACCGTGTTAGACAGCAATAATAATTGCTGAGAGTCATATGCCTAATAACAATAGTAATGGTTAAATGTTTGTCTTGTTTGTTTCCAATTATGGAAAAAGAGCCACACATATACAGCATGGTAAATATTTCCTCCCCTTACACTGGGAAAAACTGGAAAACACATTAGTTAACAAAAAATATTCAAGGTAGCTCTATGACTCTGTGCTGCAGCTGAACAGGTTTAGGTGTGTGTTTGGGTGCAGGTTTTGGGGGGATCTTCACAAGACTTAGCCCAGCTAGGCTCTTCAGGACATTGCAGGACACCTAAAGTTAGACTCGTGCTCTCTGGGGTCCCAAAGGTGCCTCTGCCTTGCTCTCTTTCTCCCTTCATACAGAAGAGAGACTTCTTTTGATGGAGAGTGAGGAGGGAGGGGGAAAAAAAAAAAAAGGATTTGCCCTTTGTTGGTGCATGGGCTCCTAACTCACTTAGACATTTTTAGAGTATCGCACAGGGAAGCCCGGCTAGTGGAAGCAAGCCAGCACACTTTAGAGGAAAAGAAAAGACCCACCTGGAAAGCTAATATTAATGGTGTATCAATCACAAGTTTTACCTAGTGCCTTGTCATTTAACTTGTGATGTTATTCCATCCTTTCAAATGGGTCACTGTTACCTAAGGAAAGAAATGTGTGTACCAGAAAGCTACTGAAGGTGCCAGTTACTGTCTTCCTTGAGACGAAGTGGTGACTGTGCTTGTTAAGTCTCTGTGGTTTAACAACAGCAGGGCATAGTCTTGTAGGTGGCATCTCATAAATAAAATTTATTAGCGTGACCAATATTTTTCATTGTGCTAAACTTAAGCCTCGTATGCTGCTCACTTGAAAATATTGAAAGCAGCCTTGCTGGTTATGCCTTCATTTAGGAGGGGGAAAAAAAAAAAAAAAAGCTTTTAATAATAATCTTTAATGTCGTCGTTCCCTTATATGGTGTTTTTGCTTGGTGTTGCACAGGACGCTGGGGAGCCGCTGCAGCTGCTAAGGACTGGCTGGGACATGAAGCTGGGACTTGGCTTGCCAGGGTTGCCCCTGTTCTCCCTTTTTGCCACATACCAACATGTCAGAAAAATCATTTACGTGGTAGCTTCTCGTCACGGGTCTGGCTACAGGGCCTTGCTCTGAGGCTGCAGGACGTGGGCAAGGGGCTGGCCTGCAAAGGCAGGGGGAGAGCGTGGGGGCCGTTTCACGTGGTGTTGGCGGGTGGGTGGTGGAATCGATGCTGTTTCACCTTTTTGCTAAGGAATCGCGTGTTGGCTACTGCTGGGGCCACTGGACGGGTGAATAGGCTGATGTGGTGCTGCAAATTTGACAATCTTATGGAAAGGTATCCTTTCCAATATAATTTTATGATCTATGGTTGCAGAATCTTGACATAGGCTGTTCTTACATTGACCCTCATAAGACTGTTCCTTCTCTCTGCTTGTTACTTTGCATTTCCTATCAGTACAGTTATTTTCTATTATCCTTGGGTCACGGAGCTACCATGTGGGAACAAACCATGATTAAAACTGGAGGATGCAAAACTGAGTCTCAAAATATAACAGCGTGGCAGAACCATTTGTCCTCATTTGGGACTTACCAGAGTTATAGGTGTAGTTAATTGAGTGAAAGCCCTTAAATTTAGACTATTTCCCTCCTATGGTTGGAGACTGGCAGAATACTATGACCTGTTGCTAACACATTGCTGCTGATGCTCGTTTCTGAGCTGGTTGATGTACCACCAGTCTGAACCAGATGACCCAGATGTACCACCAGGTGAACCAAAAAGAAGCTGCACAGTTCCCCAAAACACTGTGTTACTGTGGGGTTTATATTTAGGTATCAAATGTATTTGTTAATTGGATACAAACAAAATTTACATGCATTTCATTAACATCCTGCAGCAGTGAGTCACATGAATTAATAGTTATGTTTCAAAAAAAGAAAAATACCTGTGGTTATTATCTTGGGAACTCTTCTGTGGGTAAATGTTTTAATATATTTTGACACGATTTCATATATTTGTGAAAGTAGCTTAATTACAATGACTCAATGAGAAAAGGGTAGCTAAGATGCACAACAAACCATGGACTGACCCGTAAAGGGGCAGTCTCTTTAGAAGCAGTGGAAGCCTTGGAATTCTTTTCCTGTTATAGTTTTAGATGGTACTAAAAATCAAGCTGTGTTTTGAAGAAGTTTTTTGCTCTTCCTGCTTTCAAGTAAGCTACTTGTACGTAGAGAAATTTCAACATGTGCTTGCTGAATTTGAAAGACAAATGTTATTTGATGCCCACAGTTCTACTCTGCCCAAATGCATTCCAGAAAGTAGATAACAAATACATAGGTTTAACCAGTCTTGCTGTTTTAGATGAGGATTAGACAAAAGGCCTAGTTACTGCTGGGGAAAATTGAAATTTTAAAATCCGTATTTATTAGTTTACTTAAACACCTCTTGTTTTCTATTTCCATTACAGATGGTGTTTACTTGGTAGATACATTAGCTGGAGATCCAAAGGTTCTCCAAGCAGATACTGAAATGTATTGTGAGAAACTCCTGAAGAAATCATCATCTACCCTGACGTATTTTCCCTCCCTGGAGGAGGAAAGGTAATAGGGAGATGCTTTTCCTTCTGAAAGTTAGATCTTGTAACAGCTAGTTTGTTGGGTGTGCTTATAGTCTGTTTGTGGCCAGGTTGGAAATGTCTTAAAATCAGCGGTTTCTGATTTGAGTAGTTTGCATCCTGTAAATTGGAGAGAAACTGTAACTCCAAAACCTTCCAGAGAGTGGATGAGCATTGGAAGTGTTAGCACCTTCACCTACCTCCTTACACGACTGAACCAAGAGTGAATCTGGTGGAGGTTTATACCAGGTTCCAGCTCTGTTTTCGGTTGCCTTCCTTCCAAGAGTTATCTTGATAATTTTGACTATGGGTTCTTATAGAGCAGCTTTCATTATAGATGGTAGAGATGCTATAGATGCCAATGCTTTAGTGTCTGGTCCTGAGACACTTAAAGAATGGGTTGGAGATGACTAAATAAACTTATGAAAAATGCCTATGTTAGTCAACATATGGTATTTTATATTCTGGGAATTTTCTAGTTGATGAAAGGTGTTCTGGACTAGCTGTTACTGTGCTATCAAAGCAGAAAGTAGGTTAGATGAAATAAATGTTTCTGTGGAATTGAGTGGCTTGTCTACAGTTTAGGAAAAATATGCAGTAGTTTTCCAGAAAGATGTTCTTTCAGGAGGGGTAGCTTTGTATTTGAGGAGTGATTATGAGTAACTTTAAATACTCTTTTAATGCCCTCTAGTGGACTGTGTAGGGTTAAATACCAACAAACCTGAAAATGCAAAGATCCCTCCGTTCAAGGCTGTCCTTAGCTCAGCTTTTCATGCCTAGTTGCAATTTTTAAACTTCATTTACTCTTTAATTAGAAAGGAGGGTGGTATAAAATCCCAGGCAGTGCTATATGTATTCTTGCAATAGCTAGTCACAGCGAGATCAGTTAAATGTAGACTTTTGGCTTTTGATTCACAGCTGTCTTGATTTTGTGGCTTGTCGTCAGACTTTAATGTGTCACATGACTGATTTGAGTCTCATAGCAACAGATTACTCTTTGCATTCATTTAGTGCAGATCTAACCTAAGCTGCACTTGGATAGCTAGTCAAGGGCGTAAGCCATGGTAATGTTCCTACTCTGTCTTTTATTTCCTTATAAACTGTAAGGAATACTTGCATGCCTGTTGATACTATGTAATTAAAAATAAAGTAAATATAATAAGGTTGATGCCATCCCCAGTGGATATCTGAGCTAACAATCCCTGTTATAAACCCACAACCTGAAGGCTGAGGATTTTGGTATTTGGATAATCAGCTGTTGTTATTGTCCTTTTTTCCTCTGCTCAGCTGAATCAAAGCAGGTTTCAGGTGGCAGGTCCAGCAGCTGTGCACAATTACCTGACCAGAGTTAGGTAGCTGTCAGGCCACTTACTCAGGGCACAGAACTTTTTTGGTGGTTCCTAGTCTTTGCTCAAGCATTCAGGATCTGAAGAGCAAGGATTGTTGTAAGTCAGGATGAGAGTATGTGGGCAGAGTTCATAGAGAGACAGCTAGACTTGGCTGTACTAATGTTATTAACACCCATGAAAGTGCATATTCACTTACAAAACAAAAACACAGTCATAGCAGTAGGATTGGAAATAGGACTGGTCTCTTTGTTATGGTATTGCTCTCAGGTGTCACTATGACACTGATGCTGTTTTATTAGTAGCAAGAAAAGGAGGACCAGGTCCTCAGAACGTACTGAGGTTTCAGGATGTTCGTACCTACAGATTTCAGGCAGTTTTCAGTTTATTTCCAGGAGCCTCATTTTTGCAGAGATGACCCCAGGATTCTGTTACTGACAATCTAATGATACTGAATCCATATTCATACTACTCTTTCCATGCACCAAGATGTATTAAATGTATCACATGACTGATTAGAGTTTCACAGCAAACTCACAAATGGGTACAGTTAGAGAGGCACACCCACCCACACACACAATGGACCAGATTTTCCAAAGTACAGTACATACTGTGCTCAATTATGCATGATCTTTGCCTGCACCTAAACCTACATGAGAGCCTTTTCAATATTCATGTGGAAATCATCATCATCATCTCTATGCATAGAGAGCTGTTGGAGCACAGTAATTTTGTGTTTATGCATCACATCATTTATAGTGCAGTCTGAGAGGTCGAGAGCTGCATTCTGGTTTTAGCTTTCTCTGCAGTTTTACCACCTTGTGCCAATTATCTACCCTCCCTGTGCCTCACAGATAAACTGCCCAGGCACTGCCCTGGTGCTTTGATACTCCCTGTGCCCTGCGGCTTCAATCATTGTTTGCAAAACACCACAAATCCTCAGCTGGACGATGCTGTAAGATGGTGCAAGTTGTATTTGTTTTTATTTGATACAAATGTGTCTGCTCTTTCATAACACCATTTGTCTGCATGTGATGGATCGTGCTCTGTAACAGTGTTCAAAGGCAGGATATATACTAATCATAAGTCAGTATTAAGATCTTTGCTAACTTTACTAGCTGATTCCTTTTAAAATAACATTAGTTACTGCTAATATTGGAACATTATGTATATACCACTTAGTGTCTTGAAGTTAAAGGTTGAGCTTATTCCATCCATGTTATTAAAACAAGCCGTAAGTGCATCAACTACACACAACTCTTGCCAGCTTTGCACTACAAACAGCTTTTTTGTTTTTTAGGTTGTACTTGAAGATTCCTGTGTGTGTTTTGTCCCTGTCCAGCGAAATAATCCTACTTGCAAAATGTTGCTGTTAACTGATCCACAGGATAAAGAGACAGGTTAATCTTGGTCAAAATATTTTGAATTTGGAGTAGTTGGGCTTTCTTTAAAGTTGGTCTGCTGGTTTACATACTGAAGTATTAGTGCATTTGTTTTGAATCCGAAGCAGACTCCGAACACTGTTCAGGGATTTGTATGAGTGGGCTACTGATTTAGAAGGGAGGGATGACAATCAGGGATTTAAAAATTATCTGCATCGTTCTGCTACTGGTGGAAGAATGACTTTGGGGATATCCCATATTCTCTCTGACTTCATTCAATGGATAATAGTTTTCTTCAAGAGGATATTGTGAGATGTGGTGGATAGAACTATTGGATAGAACAAGAGCAAATTACATATATGTGAAATGGTATTAGGTTTTACTGATTTTTATTCCTATTATTTTTCCTGTGTGATGTCTTTAGTTCTAGGTTTAATTGCCTCCTATTTCTGGCACTGGCCTGCAAGTTGAACAGAGCACGCGCTCAGGAATGGAGTTATACCCATTTTATTTAGCATTTCTCCCAAAATTAGCTTTAAAATTTACTGGCTTTGCCTTGCTTACTACTCGTAATGTTGGTGTTTTCCAATTACAGCCATGTGTCATTCTGACAGGGATACACCGCAGTCCAGTTATAGGCAACAGAAATCAGTATGAGATGGCTGATGTTTCTTTCTCGTGAGTCACTGCTTGAATTATCAACAGGTTCTTAAGACTTGAGGTAGTAATTGTATCTAAGTTTTCTCTTCCTGCTGTGAGGGTCACAGTGTCTCAAAATATAGCCAAATTTCTTCCCAATTAATGTCAGGCAGGCGTGTGGGACTATATCTGCTATGTGAAAAGCTGCAAATGTAAAATAATTAACAAACCTCGATACCACTGTCAGTGACAGTAACGTTGGGTTGCGTGGTACCAAAGGACCAGTGTAACTCATGAAATAAAGTTTTGGCTGATTTGGAGCCATGGACTATATCATTTTTGAGCAACTACTATGAAGACATAAACTACGCATTGACCCATTATGCTATATATTGCTTAGATAATCCTCCAGAACACAGGAAGCCTTGACTCGATAACTGGTTAAACTTTGAACTCCTGAATGTTGCATGACACTAGTGAGATCTGTTACCAAAACCACATCTGACTTTTTTTTAATGAAAGGATAAGCTATAAATTTTTCTCGGAAGAAGTTTGCAACCAGTATTTTTAATAACACAACAAAGAAAAGGCTAAGCTTAGTCCTCTAGGTTCATTTCTTGGAGTGGCAGGTTGTCATCTTATACTCCTTGAACAGGCACTGTTAGTGTAACTAGGTATTCATTGGCGAATGTGGCATCACACTAGTGAGATCTGTCACCAAAACCACATCTGACTTTTTTTAATGAAAGGTACTGTTAGTGTAACTAGGTATTCATTGGTTCAGTCCAAAGCCTGGAACTAGGAAATTTCTTCCTAAGAACAAAAAACAGATTAAAGTCATCTGCGGATGAAGGTGAACTCTGGGGAACTTTCCAGCTCCTTTTACATACCCTTTCAATTGACAGCTCACTAATGTGCTGTGATTCACATAGTTTGAAGGTGGGGAAACTTTTCAAGATAAAAATGTACTCTTTAGACTACAGTTTATGGTCTCTCTAAAACTATTGAAATAGAAGTGCTTTCCTGGCATTAATTTATATTTCACATGGACATTTTTATGTAGAGGCACTGGTGTGCTAAAGGAAAGAAGCATGTACAGCAGAAGCCCGAGCTGCGCTGTGGTTGCAGTGGTGCGTACGTACTGACTTGCGCTCAAAAGAACGTAGTTAAAAACACCATTTAGTTTAGGTTGCTCAGGAGTCATACGAGTGCAGTGGAGACTACATTGTATGATAGTTATCTACACTCAAAGCTTCAATCTAGCAAGATAAGCTGCTACTTAGATTTTAAGCAACGAAGTGAGTTACTTCTGTAAACCCTTTAGCTTGTTTCACTGGCCCATCGTCACAGAGAGAGTCCCACAGAGATCAATAACTCTAGGTATTTAAGCAAGACCTGCTTCATCTGGCTCTTAATATTGCCTTTTGAAAGTATGATTTAAGGCTTTTTCCTGGAAGTCCTCTGTTTCTGGACTTTACAAGCTATAAGCTTGTGGCCAACATTAATAGTTGTGGAAGGTATAATCCCAGAATTCCAGAATGGTTAAGGTTGGAAAGGACCTCCAGAGATCATCTAGTCCAACGCCCCTGCTCCAGCAGGGACACCTACAGCACATGGCACAGGGTGGCATCCAGGCAGGTTTTGAAGATCTGCAGAGAAGGAGCCTCCACAGCCTCTCTGGGCAGTCAGTGCCAGGGCTCTGTCACCCTCACAGGAAAGAAGTTCTTCCTCACATGGAGGTGGAACTTACATGTTACCCCCTGTCCTGTCACTGGCCACCACAGACAAGAGTTTGGCCACATCCTCCCTACATTCTCTCCTCAGGAGTTCATACGTACTCATCAGATCTCCTCTAAGTCTTCCCTTTTCCAGACTAAACAGGCCCAGCTCACTTAGTCTTTCCTCATTCGATAGATGCTCCAGTCCTTTAACCATCTTTGTCGCCCGACTCTGGACCCTCTCTAGAAGCTCCACATCCCTCTTGTCCTGGGGAGCCCAGAACTGCACGCAGTACTCCAGGTGCGGCCAACCCTCCCTTCCTATGTACATTGGACTTCTTTTTTTAAAAAAAGAAATTATGGTGAATCGTAGTAAATTTTCATTGGTTCTCTGAAGTCTGCTTGTGTGTGTATATCTGAGTATAGGTATTTTAAATATTTTACTCAAATATGTTTCTCATGCTTTAACAGATTGGGAATCGACCCTTGGGGCAGAAGGCTCTGTCATGTCACAAGTCCACCTGGGTTTGCTTAGCTATCTCGCCCTTCGTTCTGACCTGTAAACAGATCAGGTAGTTTCAAAACAAATTTTTAAGGGGAAAAATTTGCTGTGTTGCTTTGTTTCCTTTGTTTTTATATCTTTAATAGATAACTACTGCATATACAGATAAACCAGTTTTTATAATGGTTAAATACAATAACCACAGTAATATGCCTATTTTTACACAGTTCCTGAAACCAGTGTTGTCAAACTAACTGTTTATGTTTTAAATTCCAATAGTTTAGACTCTGAAAAAAAATACAAATTTTGAAAAACTGAATGAATCTTAATAGTTTAGATAGAAGTTTACCTGTGAAGAGACATAAAGTTTTATTCTTGGGCACAGGTTAAAGAGAAGTTGATTGCAATGCTGAGATTTATGCCTGATCACCTTGATCAGGTAGATTGTCCAGAAGTGATGCTTAAGCTTGTGCTCTGAAATGGCCTGTGTGCAGCAAAGAGCAAATGAATGTGACAGCTTTTCCAGAGGCCTTGGTCTTGGTTGGGAGCATTTTTAATTTATTTGTGAAGGGCTGTGTGTTCTGTTACTCTATCTGTACGGGTATTTTTATGAGAATGTAAATTGGGCTGTAAGGGCCTACAGAGCATAGCATGGGTGATTAACATTTTTATATCGCTAAATAAACATACTCCATTGTGGCATTTTCTGCATGCTGGATATAATAATTTACAATAACTGCTAGATGCTATGGAACATTTATCACAAGACATTTGCAACAAATCATTGAGTAAAACTTGAATTATTGCAAAAAAATGTAATTGGTTGCAGGAAAGATATCTTAGATACTTGAATGGCTGTCATTGCTGTAGCATCTGCAGGCCTCCTATGCTTTAATGCATTTATTTGCATAAGACTCTTAAGAAAGAAAAAAATGCTTTTCTTTTGTGTTATATATAGGGGATGGGGAGACACAGCTACTCAGTGTAGCAGTGGGCATTGCAAAATGCAGTTTGACTTCTGCATCTCTGAACTTGCTCCATTATCAGAGGTGACCTAGACACTGTTGTGTGGAATTTCCTGTCAGGGTGATTTACTATTCTCCTTCCATGGTGGAAATGTGCCCAAAGTGACCTGTAATCTGCCGTGTGCCATCAATCGGAAATACTTCCAAAATTAGGGAAAAGATAATGATGGAAGAACTGGTAGATCTGGTACTTAGCAGACTAGCTCAAATTCCATTTTTTGCACCTTTTTATATAGTACTTTGATTTAGGTTGTGGTTGTGTGTGAGGGATGGATTTCAGCAATTTAGATGAAAACTGAGGAGGAAGAAATATCAAGCTGGACATCGCTCTGTTTTTTTTATGCTTTACTCACAAATGCAAAGTCCTGATGCACACATTTCATTCAAATAATTTCACACTGGTGAGTAGGCCTTTTTGGCCAGTAAAAATACAGACTGGATTGAGAAGGATGACATTTGCCCAGGGGATGGAAGCGTTTCATAGTACAGTCATGATGAACAGGGTTCAGGTGATGTATGTAACTTACTGATTGGAAATAACTTTATCTTTTTGATCAGGCGGATGTTACCTTGTGTCTTGGAGGAAAGAATAATAAGGCTGGGAAAGGAGAGTGAAGAAAACATGTGCTCGCACAAAACATGTTTGCATTTGAAATAGCATTCCTCAGAGCTGATTATAAAATGAAAATGAGAGCGTGGGGAAGCATGAATGGGTTTAACTGTGAACCAGATGTTGACTTGAGAAATGATAACAAAAAAGTACATATGTTTTTGTGAAATCTGGAGAAATGATTTTTCCTTCAAGGAAGACATCTGTATACATAAGGTTGCTCAAGTAATGTGATGTGACAGTTGCTATGTCAACTAGTGTTCTCCCCCACACACATTTAAATTATTGAATATCACAGTAATTGCTATAAAAGTAGCTCCTTGGACCATGGTGATGCATCCTTCTATTTTCATCAAAGCTTTTTCAGACTTTTCTGACCTTTGCTATGTGCTTTGTATGTGCCTGGACTATGTGCCACATCTCTGTGCAGTCCCCACTGCAGTCAGCATCTGGCTGCAAAATATTTAACAAACTGGATCTGGGGCTATAAGCAGGTGTCTGCCCTTGCGTGCTATAGTTTCTTCATGATTAATCCAGTGCATAAAGTGTAATACTTTTTGGCACTTGCTTTAATAATTTATTCAAAATATAAGTTAGCTAAGCAGAATCTCCAGCCTGAAAGCCAGTGGGAGCTGGTAAAGGTTGAGGCAAAAAGGGAAACTAACCTGTGCACGTTAGAAACATTTGTATAACCTGAGGCAAAAGAGGTAAATGATGAATCCTATTAAAGCTGTTTCACTTGCTTGTGTGTAGATTTGTCTCTAACTGTTAGATGGCTTTTAACTTTCTCATGTTAGTCTGTAGCTGGATAGCTTTGAGAGCTGGTAGACAGCGTGCCCTGTTAGGAATTGAGATGTTTGAACTCCATCCTGATCTTTGCCACATATTTCCTATATTATATTTGATTTCTGCCTGAAAAAGAGAAGGCAAACTGCACTATTTAAAGGTAGTAAATATACTGGTGTTCTTGAGCGCTCCTGGAATTGTGGCCATGTAGGTGGATGTCACCACTGTGCAGATAATAGTTCTTTTTACTGCAGTGTTTGCTGCTTGATGTGTCAGTCATCATAAAAGACTTAATGCCTGCCTTTATTTTAAAAACAAATCTAAGTCTTTAAAAACTGATACCCTTTGAACTGCCTCTGTGCTAAAAGTTTTCCTTCTGATCAGCACTTGGGAGCAATTTCAGTCTTACTACTTTGATCTTTCTCCTGTAAATCTAGTGGCAAGAATGAATTCTGTAGATAAAGGAAGGGAGTTGGTTTTTAAATACTTGCTTCTGGATATGTGAAGAATTCAGGAAGGGTGGGAACAAGTGGAGTGTAAGCTCTGCATAGTACTTAAGCAAGTCCAAATATATTTATACTTCAGGTTGAAAGTTTGTGTTTTTTTTTTTTTTGTGTGTTTTTTTTTTTTTTTTTTACAGATCTGTATGAATATCTGCCCTTTGTGCAGATACATGCATTTGAACTGGAAATGTGCATTTGAACTGTGTTCTGTCCATGCAGAAAATTTAGGATCTGCAGTCTAAAGGTACAGGTACGCAGAAACTTTATCATGTGGGCAGCCAAAAAGGCGTTTGATGGAATGGATATGAAAACTTTGAGGCTTGAATGACATGGATGCAAGCATGGGCATGTGTGTGTGTGTACAGCTGAGGATCTCAGAGAAATTAATTTTTAAATTGCAGAAAGTGGCTCTGTGTCCCAAATGCCACTCAGTTGTATGCAGTACTATCGAGGTATCACCCAAGAAGTGCCTTATTCCTGTGGCCCAAGGGTTGTCCTACTAAAGGTAGATTGGTTCATAGAAAAATTGCTTTTACTTGATGCTCCATTCAGTGTTGCAAGGTGGATATAAAGGGACATGGAGATGTTATGGAAGCCCTGCAAAGCCAAGGGGAGTCGGCAGGAGGGAGAGGAGAGGGGGCTGTGAGGCTGCCCATGGAAGGGTGCAGGGTCGCCTACCTGTCTCCAGCTGATCTCTACCTGTATTCTTCTTTTTGTAGTTTTGGCAGTTTATTTGAACCAGTCTTGGTGGCCAGTTGAAGATGTGATAAAGACAGCTGATCCTTCTAGAGATGGGCTAATTTTGGTAAGGATGCTGCTCTAAACATTTGCCTTCACCCTGGAGCTAGGGCAATCAAACACAATTCTCTGGTCTACCTTAGCTCATGTTTTATAATTTGTGGGATCCGGGGTACCTGTCTTACCAAGTACTTCAGATGTCTCCCATTGCACAGTGACAACACTGACATGCATGTTCACCCTCTCTAAGCCATTTCCTGTCATGCAATTTATGATTCATCTGTGGGATTTATTCTCTGTGTTTTTACTTTGCCCTCACTGCCAGCTAAAGAAATCATCAGGTGAACAGAATTACTGCATTAGCAATAACTCTTCACACTAGTGCTGCTTGTCTGTCTGAAAGGAGGTGTTTACCAGCCTTTGGAACAATGTCTTATCTAGCTATTTACTTTTTTTTTTTGTCTTGGAGAGTGTGTTTATATTGTTTTTTTTTTTTTTTATTGAACTGTTATTTAATAGGTTTTGAATGTGTAATTTAATAGATTTTAAATTTGCATTTCTTTTTCAAAATAAATAATCTTAGTAGGATACAACTATTTTTTACATGGAACAGTAGAAAAAAAAATATTTGTATTATCCTGTCTGGACCAAATCATGAAATATTTTCTCCAAGTTTCATGCACATGTTCCCTGACCACTTCCTTCCCTGCCCAAGATTTTGAAGCCTTTCATGAAAGGCAAAACACACTTTTTTTGCTTCATTTGTCTTTGCTCTGTTTTTGTTTATTCTCTAAGGTCCAGACATTTGCAGAAAGGATTGTCCGCTTTGTTCTGAACCACGTTATTTTGGGAATGCTGGAAGGGAGTTCAGCTAATGATGCATTCTTTCTCCCTCACTCTGCTACTGAGTGTGCCAAGATACTCTGGAGAGATGGTGAGGCTGTCGCATTTTATACAGTCAAGATGAAAGGTAAGGTCATTTTAGAGACAAATTCCCATTGGCTCCTCAAGCCTAGGAATGTGGTGCTCTTGTTTGTCTTCCTGCCTCTTATTTACATTTTTATATTGAATCTCCCTCAGAGTGAATCTGGGAAACAAACCTTACCAAAATTTGGAATCAATCCATATTACTTTCATTTAAACATGATGTCTCCAAGTTCTATTCTCAGTTACACTGAGTGAGCTGAGGTACTGTTTTATTCAAATAAAATATGTTTTATTGCAACCAAGTAAAAGGTTGTACATCTAGGAACAAAGAATGCACGGCCTACTGAAGGAGTGGAGGACTGTATTCCGGAAAGAGGGATCTGAATGAAAAAGGTGCACTGTTTATATAGCTAAAACAGGGGATTGGGAGTGGCCGGAGGCAAGAAATGGTAGTATTCTTGGATGTGTAAGAAACACTTGTTGCTGGATCAGTCCTGGAATGCAGTATCTAGCATTTTAGAAGCATTATGATGATTGATTGATTTCATTGTTAATGGGTTATCTGGTGTAGAAAAGAATCAAAATGTACTGGATGCTTTAGGGGTGCTTGCCAAGATAAACCTTTGTGAAGGGTTTTTTTATTTCTTTTTTATAAGACTTTGTATTAATGCAGATATATTGCTACTGGCTACTCCAATGTAGAAAACACCTCATTAGAATAGCTCCAGATTTGCAGTTGCATCTTGCCTTTATTCAGGAGCTGGTTACCTATCTGTGTTAAAGACTCATGGGTGTCATCCTGAGCACTAGCAGCTTAAGCATAGAGAACCTGGTATCTTTGCAGGTAAAAATGCTGCTGAAGTCAACAGTCAGAAACCATCTGACATAAGAGTGGAGGGGAAGAAACAGGCTGAGAGCTGTGTAAATGTGTGTTGCTTTGCATTGCAGAGGACAGTTTCAAGTTGCCATCCCTGGTAGAGTCTTAAGGGGCAGCAGCCCTAAGAGATGTTTTGCTTTTCTGCTACCTTGGTAGTAAAAGTACCTTGTTCACACTGAGGTGCAGCTTGTAGTATTCCACTCTGTTGGTGTAATGCTACCGTACAGTCAGTGATGAATCATGTCTTAGCCTATTAATAATCTTGTCTGTATCTGTGAATATGCTGATGAGCTCTTTTATAATTGGGAAACACTTCTATTAGCATCATACGTTTTCCTTTAAGACCATAAATATTTCTGAGCAAAGACTTCGGAGAGAAACGCTTGTATGGGCTGTAATGATTCATGCTTCAATGAAATAAATGTGCACAGTAGTCTGGTATGGGTGGAGTTTTAGCCAAGCTGAAGCTGTTTCTATGTAAATTGAGAGTCACAGTTTGATTTTAAACCAGGTCCCCATAAAATACAGATTCTTTGAGTCCAGCTTTGTCAGCATCTGTCTTTTGTTGCCAGGGCTCTTTTATTCTGGGCAGCTATATTTATTAGTCTTTGGGTTGTGTCACAAAATACTGCAGACTTTTGCCAAAGCCTTTTTGGGAAGCCTGAAACTGATTGTTTTTGCCTTTCTGCTGTATGTGTTTGGAAAATAATTCCCTTCTGAGGTTCTGTGATGGCAATTTCATACCAACCATGCCCCGGCTGATCCTATTCTCTGTGTATTGTATAACACGCATGGATTTTTTAGGCCCCAAACAAGCTCAGCTAAATAGCTTTTTTAGCCTAATGTATTCTTTTTCCTTTTTGGTCAGAACGTTTAGGAGGGGCAGCTTTGTGTACAGGACACTATATGATGCTGCATCTCTTGTTGCGACTTCTAGAGCTAGGCAGTAATAATTTGCTGTGCCCACCACGAGATTGTGATTCTCTTTGTTTCTATGCTATGCAATTATGTGGCCATTCTCCTTGGTTTTGTATTCTTCACGAGGTAGTTGACATGCTGACATTGTATTCAACTCTGTATTTCTCATTTGTGAATTTTCTACTATGCACTGTATGATGCACAGAAAAAAAAAAACACCCAACCCCCCCAGCAAAACCCACATGCTTCAGTTGAGCCAAATAAGCCAGAACGGATCTGCGGAGCGTGGTGATTTCAGACAGGAGTCATCCAGGTGAGTCACAGAAACAGGTGACCAAGATGGAGACGGTTTGTTTTATCTTTGCTACAGATTTAGACCAAATTTTCACTGGAATCCAGGGATTCCATTTAGCCAGCATGGCAACTTTGTAAAGTCTTACCCATTTGGTAGTTAGTAGGTGGTCTGTGCAAAGTGCCCTTGATGATGTTGCTGTGGTTCCACACATCTGCCCCTCTTAGGAACGCCCTTCCTTGGACCTCCTCTGGCAGCCCTGGCAGCGAGGGCCGTGCGGCGCCGAGCACCTGCCCTGCTCGGAGACACAGTAAGTGCAAGCCAAGTTTGTGGGGCAGCTTGGCAACTCCTGACACTGGCCACCCTGCACCTGTTGTGTAGGTAAACAGAAGATTCATTCTTCAAGACTATCACCTTTCATGAGCATTGGACACCTTTATTAAAGGAAAATTTATTCATGACTACACAGATCATCACCCTAACCTCTCCAGCATGTGCTTAGTCCTGCCCAATTTCAGGCATGCAGCATTTACCATGGAGTGCACTAAAGATTGATGAGACGTACTAAGCCACTAATGAGGCTGATAAGATACTTTGTCACATGCCAAGATAAATGTCGCCAATTTTATCTGTGTCAGCAGCTTCCAGATTACACAGCTAAGGAGTTCAGACCTCACTGAATGTATCTACTTAAAGGTAAAATGGAAAATGACAGAGTTCCTTGTCCCTCGAGACATGTTGGCTTTAATGTCTGCATCTTTCTTGGCAAACAGCAGCCTGCAACTCTTAAATATTTGGTGGAAGACAAAACTAAGATTTTTCAATAGATACATTGGTTTCTGTTTTATATTTCTTTTGAATATTCTTTTCGGCTTTTTTTTGTTGTTGTTGTTCTTGATAGGCTTTAATTTTTGTGAAAATCTCAGAATGTGTTTTGTGTAGAGGATTAATGACTAAACTTATTGACAAGTTTTTTTTTGTACAGTTGGACCTTAAATCTCCATTTTTTTTTCTATGTAATGAGGATTAGTAATCATTGGAGATGTGTTTTTACTCACATCAGTGAGCAGTAGTCAGGAGACCGTAGAAGATGCATCATTAACATAAATCAGTAAGGATGCCATAAGTCAAGAGTGTCTTTGTCCTTTCAAAAATAATACAGAAGAAAACACCCTTTATAGATGAACAATCTCAAATTTTCTACTCTTACACATTATTGTTTCTACTATACATAGGAGCTACCAAGTCATGGGCCAAGGTCTTCTTTGGTACAAGGAGCAAAAGAGTCAGAATGCTGGGGCTTGTTGCTTTCGTGCTCTTTCTGTCAAACACAGTAAAAGAGGAGAGAAAGATGGAATTTTCTGTGGTATGAGTTAAACCAGCCTTTAAACCAGGCTTTAAAGCATGGAGCTGAACCAGGAGTAAATGCCTTTTGGGCTTCTCATTCATTCTTTGTAGGTGATGCATAAATCACCCTTCGGGAACACCTGACCACACAAAAAATCCAAGTTAAAGTCAAGTAGATAGTGAAGCAGCCCTGGCTCCCATCTGATTTTTGGCTACTCCAAACCTTTGCAAAAAAGCCTGGTGGACCTGGCTGCTGCAGTGGGAAGTAGATGTGCCTGGGGATGCTGCTTGGGCAGGGCCATGTGCTGTCCATCCTCCCTTCTCATCCCTCGCTTCCAGTGGCACCGTAAGCTACAGGCCTGATTTTGCAGTGTTTTCCTGTTTGCTTTCAGTCTTGCCCTTTTCCATGGACAAGAGCAGTGCAGACCCAGGCCTGTTACCGTGTGAGCTGCCTTGAGCCAGATCCGATTTTGGGAGGGAAGAGACAAATTCTTTTCCTCACTGTATTTTTCTGTTAACAAAATGTGACACAACCTTGTGGGCTGTTTATTGAAATGGAATAGTTAACATTTACATAGACAACACCTGAGTGCTTCAGACATCATAATGTATTTTATTTAAGAGGGTCTTTGGAAGTGATTGCCCAAGCTGAAAACCATTTCCCACTGTTCTTCTTTACAAGCATTTGCAGATTTCTTTTACTAATGTGGTGGTTTAGATGGTTTTTCTCTAGAAATAGATCCCCAGACTATATACTTTTATTTTCAACTGATTACGTACATTTCTTCTAGGAAAAAGGAAGAAATTGGAATTGAAACTAACCTGACTGACAATTAGCTAAAATTTTGTTGGCTAATTGTTTTCTTTCTCCATCTGTTTTCTAGCAATAATATTTTTAATAAGCATTTCTGGAGCAGGCCGAAGGTTCTGGCTGTAATAAAAACTAAATGACTACATACCAGTCAAGACATGAATTCATTTAATTTTATTGAAGCCAGAACCTTTGTTCCCCTTCTCACATACAGACTCCCACAATGGCTCGACCTTGGGCTCTATTCAGCAGAAACACTCCCCACCCTTTACCCAAGTGCTCAGCCCGCAGAGGG